GGTCCGGGATTTGACGCGCGCTACACCTACTGTGGCACGCTGCTTTTACGGGCGATTACATAAGCATTTCCGGATATAACCTGTCCGATTGTCGTGGGCAGTTATCCGATCCCTTTAGCCTATTAGAAGCGTACGTTGATTTTGATACCAGAGTATTCTGTAGCCGCCTAGAATCTGCGATTAATTCGTTAATTATTCGTCGTCTCTATCCAGGCCCGTAAGAGTGGGAGGGCGGCGAGGGGCGAAACCGCCCCCCCAATCGGCCGAAGGCCGAAATTACATAAGGGGGGACCCTTATGATTTATTTTTCAAGGATTTTTGCCTGCGGCGCTATTTTAATCTATTTTTAACACTAGTTTTAGTGTTATAAACCCTATGTTTTCTGAAAATTTTGTGCGGCGCTCTAGTTTTAGTCCATATTAGTGAAAAATTTTTGGGGTCGCCCCCGAAATCTGGGTTTGTTACGGCCCTGGTCTCTATCAAGGCCGTCCGCGCGCTGTTATGCCTATTTGCGGCGACTATGTATGCATTGATTTTTATGGCTTCATATTGTTCACCCCATTTGGAGGTGTGCGCAGATCCCGACGGCATGTGCAATGTCGGGACGACGCTGTTGGCGAAGCAAGCTTCTGCTAACCGAACCATTTCAAAAGTATGTTAATCTCGTTGTACACAATAGTGTACGTATCGGAGATTAAGCCGATAAGAACATAAACAACAAATTGATCTAAGCCAGGGGCCAGAAACGTGTAGATGAGGGGAGGGTGTGTATTTCCGGGGGAGGTGGTCCAGGTGAGGGGCGAGTGGGGACACGAGGGACACTCAGAGTGCGCGCAGATGGGGGTCGGAGGGGTCTGATCCCTGTATCTGCTACAAAACGCGCCCTCCGGCTATACTCTGACCTAGTTATTTTTAAAGTACTCTGGACTTACTTGTGGGCGCCAAGGTCGGTGGGCCTACGGTAGGCGCATCTGGAATCTAGCAGATGGCCGTTTGGATTTGTTCACATGGCACTGAATACCATAATCCACCGATGCCAATTGTCGTGCAGTTGTCGGATGAAGGTTGGACTAAATTAGAACATTAAATTTACATAAATATTATTGGAAATTTACAGCAAAGTGTATAAGCTTTCCATTCTGAAGATTAGGCCTTCTGGAATTGTGACGTTCAGAAATTTCGAAAATCGGAAAATTCGAAATTCTGAAAATTCGACCTTATGAAATGTCGACATTTTGACATCTCAACATTAAGAATTTCGACATTTGCAAATTAAGAAAAATCTATCGTTTTCATACTACAAGATTCTGGAAACCTACAAGCTTAGCCCAGTTGACCTAAATGGAGTAGTGGTGTCCCATCGGTATATGTCCATCTTCCATCCGCTCCCCTTCTCCAATCCGGTAAAGCTTGCGGATACCCCTGTTGATTCATGAAAGCCTCCAATTGATTATTGTCGAAAAGGTTGTGAATCGACACCAAATGCGTCCCAGACGATTGAGCCCGGTAAACCTCGGCACCGTAAAAATTGTCCTGAAAGGTCGCAATTTGCATTTGGAGGCCCGGGATCTGGATGCCTTTCAAACCCTTGAATTTAAGTGGGGAATGCTAGCAGCGACTCTTTGGGATAGCCAAGCATAAGGCAGGCTAGCAGCAATCCTTTGCCGGAATCGAAGCCCCTCGGGCATGCTAGCCGGATTACCTTGAGGAAACCGGAGCATAAAGCACTCTGGCAGCGATCACGTGTGGAATCCAAGCATCGAGGCGTGCTAGCAGCGGTTCTTTCAATAATTTTAGCGGCATCACTAGCAGGGATCGCTTGTGAAATCTCAGCAAAGCTAGCAGAGATGCTTTTGGAAATCTGAGAAAAGGGCAGGCTAGCAGACATTTGTTGAGGAATGATTGTGTCGGGCATGCTAACAGTCACTATTTTAGGAAAACGCGGACGGGCTGCTAGCGGAAATTCTTCTGGAAATCCGGTCCTAACTAGGAAGGTCCAAAATACCCGCAACACCGATCGGGCCGAAAATTAGTACGCCTTATAGAATCGACCACGCTGATAATCGCCTCGTTTTCCGAATTTGCTACAGAGCCTTAAAATTTGAGATATTAAGTTTTAAGTCGATTCTTCAGTTAAAATTGCTGAGGCTTCGGACTCGATTATTTTTACCTTTTGGCAGATTTCCGAAAAACAAGCATCGCCATCGGATTCCAGAAAAATTTTTCTGTTTCGAATGAGCCCTCAAGCTCAAGATTTTCGAAAAGGCAAAGAATTGGAAAAACCGACGATACTTGGCATGGACTGCGAATTTACTATGTGAAATGGTAGAAAACAGCCTACTGCAAGCAGCTGTGGGGGAAGCGTCCAGGTCCTCGGTGATTTAAGGAAATATACGATTCGAATCAAGAAAAAATTCTCTATCCGATACGCTACGTAAAATAACTAGAAAAATACAAAAAAAGTTCGATATCTACAGAAATAACCCCTTCCCGGGGACCCAAAAATGACACTAAGACTTTAATATCTCAAATTTTGAGGTTCTGTAAAATTCGGAAAACGAGGCGAATATCAGCGTGGTCGATTCTATAAGTGTACAAATTTTCAGCCAGATCGGTGTTGCGGGTATTTTGGACCTCCCTAGTAAGACAGGTGGGCAGCTATTCTTTGGGGAAATCCAAGCGTAGGGCAGGCTGGCAGAGATTATTTGGGGTTTCCGAATATCAGGGCATACTAGCAGAGATCCTTAGAGATACGGGCAGGAGGCAGGCTAGCTGAGGCGCTTTTTTGAAAATCCAAGGCTCGCCAGCAAGTTCCTGCAAGAATTACGGGGTAGGCATGCTAGCACAGAGTATTTGAGGAATTGGTAGATGGACTGCTAGGAAAGACTCTTGGTGGAATTACCGTTTGAGGCAGCCTAGCAGCGACTCTTCGAAGAATCCTACTATATATAAAAATAGTGTCTGTGCGTGTGTGTGTGCCGCTGCATCCACTTCCGTCCGTCTGTCCGGAGGATATCTCGATAGGGGATGAATTTTAAAGTATGTTTCATACGTCATTAGGTGGGTGATGGCCTGGAGATGACTGCACGCATTTTAGATTCAACAAAATTACCTATTTTCGACATTAAATTTAAGTTTTTGTGAAAAGTTCTTTGTTAGAACAAATTAGCATAGACCGGAAGTTGGGATTCGACTATATAACGGGATAGGAGAGGTTGTTTTTCATTTTTTTGTCGTCCGAAAACAGGCCAATTATGCAAAGTGAAGGATAAAATGGAAGTCAGACGGGGCCAGGGTTGAAAAGTCGCGAAGCGGCTCTTCAACTCTGGTGTTCTATTTATTAACTTACTCAACGGCACGGGAGGTATTTCCCTGAGAACCGCGACAACATATGTAGCGAAACTAGCAAAATCGGCAGCATCCCATAACCCATTAATTCACAGGAAAAGCGACTCCCCAGACCAGTAGCCGACTCATAAATTGCTACAGACCCCTGGATGGCTGTATCAGAGGCTTATCTCATTTAGTACTCATCCATCCTTCCCGACCTTGTCATTGTGGGCTGTGGTGTTTCTGCCATTTTTTTATGATACGGCACAGAACGCTCCACATCGATCGCTTGGGAGGCAGAAGAGCGCCCTCTTCCTTTTTGCTAAACATTTCGAGGCCGAATCCGTCAAAATCCTATATTATTGGAAATCGGCAAAATTAACCTTAATTTTGATATATCTTCTTTGTTTACAATATTTTGCTTAGAAAATTTGGCTGCACATAGTTTTTATGGGGTCCCCATCACTGGGGAAAATTTGGTCCCGATTGGATGGAAGACGGCCAAATGCTGAGGGGGGTTAGGGACACCCTGTACAGCACGACCACGGGGCCATCGCCTTCACACATTGTCTACCAATAAGTATAATGCTATTAATTTCACAGTCACGATTTCACGATACCGAATCTTTCTATTTGGTATATTGAGATTGTCCACCTGTTAAGGGGTGTGCGTTGATCCCGACGGCATGTGCAATGCCGGGACGGAACTGTTTGGCGAGAAGCAAGCTTCTGCTAACCGAACCATTTCCAAAAATATGTTAATCTCGTTGGTATTACACACAGTGTACGTATCGGAGATTGTGCCGATAAGAACAGTAACTACAATTGATCTAAGCCAGAGGCCAGAAGCGATACTTTGAAGCAAGGGGTGTGCCTATTTGAGGCGGAGAGGTGGTCCAGGTGGGGGCGAGTCGGGATGGGGAAGGAACAGGGAGAGCGCACAACAAGCGATCGGGAGCGCGGTTGGACACTCTTCCTGATAAAACGTGCCCTCCGGCTATACGCTGACCTAATTTGTTTGTTTTATCAAAACCAATAAAATAAACTCTAGAATTAATGCCATACTTTCAAAACCCTGTCATTATATAACCATTAACTTAAATTACCTTTGCAGAGTATGAGCAAATTCATCATTTATTCCACTTGAATACATGTTCACATTGGGTTTTCTTGCAAACATAGCTCAAAGTCAGCGTCTTCGAGGGCTATCGATTTCCCCGAAATCCGGGCATCCTGGGTCGGCTGTTAGCCAAAAACTGGCGTTTTAGTTGCTTTCAAAATGCCGAAACGAATACTTCCAAAATTGATAATGTCAGATGCCAAAGAATGTCGAATTTAGATAAGCAAATCTTCGAAAGAAACCCAGATCCTACGCAAAATGTCGAGATATTGAAATTTCGACACTAGGAAATTCGGCGTTATGAAATTCAACCTTATGATTTTCGACATTCCGATAGCAAATAATTTTCTTTAGATCACAACTTACGTAAATCGCACCGCTCGACGGATCTCCATTTCCATAAAGATTCGGATAAGAAAATGCGGTCCCGTCGGCCCACGAATCGTACCCGTTCATCGCCATACCTAAAAATAATGATTTTTTTTTCTCAAGCCTCTCATTAGTTTCATCTTTAGACAAAATCCATAGTCCTGCCTTGCCGGTCCCTTTAACGAACCTCCAGTCCAAATTCCGTACGGCGCCTCCGGATTGCACTGCTGCTGGACGGGGACGGCGGGGCTAGAGCTAAAAATTGAAAAAATCAGACCGAAATCTTTAGGATACCCATAATGAAGTCATTCTCCGACTTGGTGTGGATCGACGTCAGCCTGGCGTACATCTTCCGGCACGCGGCGAGGGCGTCGTCATGCGTGGCGGCTTGGCCTGGCTGAAATGAGAGAATTAGAAAGTGAGAGAGAGAGAGTGAGAGAGAGTGAAAGAGAGTGATAGAGAGAGAGACGGAGAGGGAGAGTGAGAGAGAGAGAAAGAGAGAGAGGGGTAGGGAGAGGGAGAGAGGGAGATAGAGAAAAAGAGAGAGAGAGAGAGAGAGAGAGAGAGAGAGAGAGAGAGAGAGAGAGAGAGAGGGGGAGAGAGAGAACGAGAAAACGTAGCGTGATACGCAACAATATACGCAGCGCGATACGCAGGGCGATACCCAGCGTGCGTTCACGCAAATCCGGTAGGGAAAGCCGAAAAGCACATTGAACCTACCAAATAGCACTGGCTGGTCTCGGCCAATTGTGTCCACCCAAAATCACACTTTGGCTGGGCCTTCAAGCAGATCCCAAAATAGGTGGCACCGCAATTTGTTGTTTTCCACAAACCGTCAGATCCCTCCACCACGCAAGGGTCGTATGTCGGGAAGCCTAAGATAAATAGAGTTTTGGCCTAAAAGAGCCAGGTATTCTGATGCCGAAATTTCTTAAACAACCCCCTAAAAAGGCCATTAAGTTTCTGATCGCCAAAAAACTCTAAATCGTTGAAATTCTGAAAATTTGGTTATTATTTGGTTCTTTTTTATAGACTTTGACCAAAAGCCAAAAATTGTCGAAACTATATTTTATGTGGATTTTAAAATGCAAAATTTACTAAAATGTTACGAAAATGTTTTATATTTTGTGTAGGATCACAAAAAATAGTTTCCCTGCCAAAACCCTTCCCCCGCTAATAGAACAGGACGCGAATCTTGAATTTTCGACATTCTAAAATCTCGAGATTATAAACTGTCGGCATTATGAAATTTCTGGGCAGTCTAAAATTTGGAAACTGTGAATTTTCGACTTTATGAAGTTCGACGTTATCAAATTTCGACATTATGGATTATCGACATCACGAAATCTCGAAAATATTAAAGCCAATCCGTCTGCACCGACCTGGAGCCCAATTGAAATAATCCAAAGCGCTCCCGTCGGTCCAGCTGAAAGTATTTTCCAGACGTTCCGCCTATTCCGATCCAGAAATTTGGGATGTATTTGGCCAGCAATTAGTAGTA